TTTTTTTTTTTTTTCGAGACAGGGTTTCTCTATGTAGCTTTGCGCCTTTCCTGGAACTCACTTGGTAGCCCAGGTTGGCCTCAAACTCAGAGAGATCCGCCTGCCTCTGCCTCCCAAGTGCTGGGATTAAAGGCGTGCGCCACCACCGCCCGGCGATTGATCCTTTTTGAAAAGTGGAGATGTTTTACCCTTTATTTTACTTTAAATTATGTACCTTTGGGTGGGGGTGGGAGTGGGTGGGGGTGCAGGCTAGAGTGGATCTCCTAGAGCTGGAGTTATACAGGTGGTTATGAAGCTGCTTGACACAGATATTGGGATCCCAGCTGAGGTCCTTGGGAAGAGCCCTACCCATTTTTACCACAGACCCATTCCTTTAGCCCCCCCAATATAGATATTTTTGAAGTTGTTGTCTGTTGAACTGTTTGCTATTATAAACATATTGTGTTTGTTCTTATCCACTTATGTTCCAAGGCTGAAGAGATTTCAAGTTCAAGAAATTTGACCCAAGAAAACTTTCGAACCACTAGACTGAAACTAGTACAAACAAACAAACAAATAAATAAACTGAAATTAGCAAATAAATAAATAAATAAATAAATTGAATGAATAAGCAAACAGTTAAATAGTCTAAAATTTGCATCCTTTCCTATAATTTTACTAATATATTAAATTCCATTAAAATGTTACTTTTTATGAGAAACAAATCATACTGGAAATAATATGTACTGTAATTTTTTTTTTCAGAAACATACAGCATTTGCTACTTTCCCTAATGAAAAAACAGCAATAAAGGTATGTCTTTTTCTTTATTATTAAAGCTTTCAGAGATTTTTCCCATCTTAGGACAGAAGTAGAAGGTAATAGTAAACTGTTATTTTCAAAAGCAAAATCATTTCTGTTCCAAGAGTTTCCCCAAAATGTTATAATTAGCTTAGCAGATTTTAGACCTTGTCCAGTGTTTAGATACTGAGATGTAAGAATCATAAATTATTAAGCAAGGTAAGAATAACATCATATATAAGTTTTTAAGAAAATTCTAAAGGATATTATATAAATATCTCTGTAGTGTTTATAGTGCTTTTTTTAATATTAAAAGGTATAAACCTAAGGAATCATTTGTAAAAGCTATTATCTTTGAACTAGGCCTCAAATGAGTCATTAAATTTTGAGACTAAAACAGGAGAAATTGTTCTTTTAAGTTTCTGAAACAATAAAATTGGGCATAAGTCAGGCAAGAGCTAAAGGCAGTGGCAGTAATAGAACTAAAAAATTGAGTCCATATTTAAGTAGAAGAGAGTTATTAAATTTTGTTCAGTAAATAACTTAAAAGAACTGAAACTTGAGAAGGCTAAAAATATGAAAAGTATCTGATAGGGTTGATACTTAAATAGTGGATTGGATGAAGAGAAAAATTGGAGATAGAAAGACAGCATGGGAAGCTGTTTTAGAGGCAGAGGCAAGAATATGAATCTGAAGAGGGCAATAAGAAAATAAAGAGAGAGAAGTACATGTATTCTTTGGAGAGAAGTTGTTTATGGGTCTTAGGCTACAGAAGTAATTCAGTAGAGTGTTGCATAGGATACACAGGGTCCTGAGTTGAAATTCCAGTTCTACAGAAATAAAGTTTGTAGGTCTTAGTGATACAGGACTAACAACAAAAGAATAAATAGTTCAGGATCTTAATATGTTTTTTTTTTTACAGTTTTATTTATTTTCACGTATGTGCATGTTTTATTTGCACATTTACCACTACACAGATGTGGAAGTCAGAGGACAGGAGTTGGTTTCTCCTTCCAAGTATATGTCTCAGGATAGAACTCAGATTATCAGTCTTGGCAGCAAGCACCTTTACCAGCTGAACTGTCTTTCCAGCCCTAGTTCAAGATCTTTGGACTGATTAGCTTATATGAAAAAGGAAGATGAGGGTCTTTACACAGACGTGTAATGAATTCTTACGTTATCTGTTAATTTCGAGGAGTCTTTGAAATACTTCTATGGAAATTATAAACATTTTAAAATATTTTCTTGTGTTGAGCAAGGTTAAGAAAGTTTCTTCAAATGTGTAAATGGCTATGATGGGCCAAAGAATGATTAATCAAGAAGAAAAAAAAAAGCCTAGAGAAATACTGCATTTTAAAAAAAGAAAGAAAGGAAGAACAAGGAAATGCAAAACTGAAAAACATGCTATATTGATGCAAAAGAGAAATTAGGGAGAGAGTCTGTGATTGAGACATAACTGAGATATGAGCATAGTCTTACTAATCAGAGTTAATCAGGACTTCTTTTGGAAACAAGATCTCACAATGTAGTTGTGATTGACCTGGAGCTCACTGTGTAGACCAGGCTGGCATCCAACTCAGAGATTTACTTTGCCACTGCTTCTGCCTCTGCCTTCTGGGTTTTGAGATTAAACTACACTCTGCCCATACTCTTCATAAAACAGGGAGGAAAAAAAAAAAGGAATAACCCAAAGCTTCATCAAGGAGGAATACTGTAATTTTAAAAATATGTATCATCCTTAATGTGAGATGATCCAAAACTTGAATGTTCTGACCTCTGACATGTCACAAGTGAAAAGTTTTACTCTCTATCTCAGTTAACAGGCCACAGTCAAACTGCATACGTTAAAAATATTGTATAAGTTTCTTGAGTCTGTGTGTCATATATGATGCAAGTGAATGCCATATTTAGACTTAGATGTTACCCCCATGATGCTTGATTATGTCTTTGAATATTTAAAACATGAAAGAACCCAAAAATCTGAGTTCAGATCCCAGACATATCGGATAAGAGATATTAAACTTGTTTGCATCCATATTTTGGCCCATAATTGTCTGAATGATTTTATATGATTATTAGAGAATATAGTTTATGTACTTGAATGATGATGTAAAACATAATGTAGTTAATACTTGCCCTTGTAGCAAGTCTTTCTCTGTACTGCCAGCTCCTAAATAACGACATGACACGAAGACTTTTTTTTTAAATAATTTTTTTTATTCATTTTACATACTAACCACAGATCCCCCTCTCTTCCCTCCTCCCACTCCCCAACCCACCCTCCCTTCCCTCCTCTGACAAGATAAAGCTTCCCATGAGGAGTCAGCAGAGCCTGGTACCTTCAGTTGAGGCATTAATATGAAAGCTTGGCCTTAGCTTAGGCTTGTCCTACTAGCTCTTATAACTTAAATTAACCCATTTATTTTAATCTACGTTCTGTTGTGTGTATCATTACCTCATCTCTTCTGTTGTGTGTCTCATTACCTCATCTCATGCTGATTTGTCCATGTCTGGCTTGCAACTCACCTTTCTTCCTCTGAGTCCTCTCTTTCACTGAAAGTCCCACCTAATCTCTTCCTGCCACTTCTTGGCCATTCAGCTCTTCATTTACGAATCACAGTGATACATCTTCATACAGTGTAAAGGAATATTCTGAAACATTCCCTCATGTTTATTGCAGTGGGTCTCAATCTGTGGGTCACAACGCTTTTGAGGTCAAATATCAGCTATTCTACATATCAGTTATATGTTACAACTCATAACTCTAGAAAAATTAAAGTTAATGGAGTAACAATGAAATAAATACTTTTATGGTTGGGGGTCACCACAACATGAGGAAATGTATTAAAGGGTCTCAGCATTAGAAACGTTGAGAACCACTGGTCCAAAGAGTAGCTAAAGAAAGACATGAGATGATAGAGGATGGAGTTTAGTTGATAACAGCTGGATTTAGAATATGTGGATAGCTAATTTGTGATAATAGATACAAAGTGGAGCATGAGGATGCAAATAGGATTTATAGTTCAGAGTACTCTTTTTGTCTCCAAAGTAGGACAGAAGGTGCTATGCTAAGCGGGTAGAAGAAACTGAGACTACATACCAAGGAAAACATAACAAAATTTTCTCTTGGAGATTAGTGCAATTTAGGCCAAGATTGTGATATATAATTGTTTGGTGTCAGTAAGGGTCACCTTGAGATTTTTGTGGTTAGAATTTACTGTGTATGACCAGAAGATTTATTACATTTTTTTTTGTTGTTATATTCAGCTTAGGTATAAGCAGTTAACAGAATATTGGAGTCAGTTAGATTTCATTTTACTAAAGTGTAGTAATTTGAGAAGTAATATTAATAAAATAGCCTGAGAAGGAAATAGATACAATATTAATAGTAAAAGAATATAAATTTGGTTCAATTAAGATGATTTAACAAGTAATTTTTTTAATCATATTTTTTTATTGCCATACCTAAAGGCATTGACAAGACTCCATCAGCTGAAACTGCTAGGCCATACTTTAGTTGTTGAATTTGCAAAAGAGCAAGATCGAGTTCATTCCCCATGTCCCACCTCAAATACAGAGAAAAAGAAAAGGTAAGTAGATGTTCATATTTTCCTACCATCTTGAAAAGGACGTGTGTGTGTGTGTGTATGTGTTTTCAGTCATTTTTACAGTTTTGCATTGTTGACAGACAAAATAAGTTGAAAGCATAATAAAATGTTGCTCTAATGAACCTAAAAAGTAAAGCAGTAGTTCTGTTTCTAGTTGTGCTGAGGACTAAGCCTTGAAAGGTAACAAAAGTAAAAGGAAGTGGGGTGGATGGCATTCTACTTTTATAGAAGAAGGGCAACTATAGGTTGGTTATCCACTGCCCAAAATGTTTGGGATAAATAGTATTTTCTTTGGAATATTTACCAATACATGATTATCTTTGAAGTGTTATCCCAAGCCTAAATATGGAATTCGTTTGTTTCATATCTGCCTTGTATACTTTGCCTGAAGATAATTTATATAATATTTTCAGTGTTATCCTGTTCTGTGATCTGTTATATGAGGTTACCAGTAGAATTTTCTAATTTGTAACATGTTGCCTCAAAGTTTCAAATTTCAGTAGATTTCAGATTTCAACCTGTAGGAATAACACTCTTTATTAGAGATAATAAGGTGTCCTGAATAGGCATGGATTTTTTGTTGACTTCCCATTTGGACCCTCTGTGCATAATGTCTGGCTGTGGGTCTCTGCATCTTTCCCATCTGCTGCTGGAGGAAGTCTCTGATGAGTGGATAAGACACTGATCTATGAGTATGGCAGGATATCATCAGGAGTCATTTTAATGAATTTTTTTTTTAAGACCAATAGTGTTTGTTTTTACTGTAGATCTCTGAATTGTCTAGTCTCTGGTTCTCAGTTACCCAAGCAGAGTTAGGCATGAGTTCTCTAGTGGAGTGGGCCTTAAGTGAAATCCGACGTGGTTGGCTACTCATTCCCACAGGTTCTGTGCCACTATTGCCCTAGCCTATGTTGCAGGCAGGACAGATTGTAGGTTAAATGTTTTTTGACTGGGTTGCTGTCCACATTTCTCTTTCTGTAGCCTGCAGAGTACCTTACTGCACCAAAGACACTAGAATATAGGGGTGAAGCTTCCATGTAGGCACCAGCTCAATTTCTCCCTCCTTGTTCAGTGAGTTTGTGTGGTTGTTGTCCTTGGCATTGGGGCCTCACTGTCAGTTTGTGGAGGGCAACCCTTTGTCTTAGCAACAGCAAACAGTTGTTTGAGAATTCCCATGAGACCTTGTTGGCCAGCAACTCAATCTAGTGTGACCCAGTCCCTAAACTGGAGGTCTTGTCTGGCAACAAGAGATGGTCATTTGAGACTCTATGTCCCCCATTACTGGGGTCCTCACATTAGGACCACCTTCATACATTCCAGGAAGTTTCCACTGCACTAGGTTTCCATACCACCCACCAATGTTCCCCCAGTTCTAGCTGTCTCTCCCCTAACTCTCTCCCTCTACCTTATCTCTCCCCTATTCTACTCCAGTCCCCAGCTGCCCCTAGTGCCATCAGATCCCTCCCCTCAGAACTCAGGGAATCACGCAGAAGAGGAGGTAGAAAGATTGTAGGAGCCAAGGGAGAGATGGGGGACACAGCCCATAGAACCAATTAAGCAGGGCTCATAGGGGCTCACAGAGACTCAAGCAGCAATCATGGAACCTGCATGGGTCTCTGCTAGGTCCTCTGCATATGTTATGGTTGTTAGCTTGGTGTTTTTGTTGAGACTCCTAGTAGTGAGAGTGGAAATATCTCTTTTGCCTTCTCTTGGGACCCTTTTCCTCCTACTGGGTTGATCTGTTCAACTTCAATATAATAGTTTTTTTTTTCTTCATCCTTATTATATCTTGTTATGTTTGGTTGTTACCTCTTAGAAGCATGTTCTTTTCTAATGACAGAGAGAAAGGGAGCAGATCAGAGGGGAGGGGAAGTGGAGAGGAGCTGAGAAGAGTAGAAGGAGGGGACCATAATCAGGATATATTGTATGAGAAAAAAAAATCTATTTTTAATAAAAGAAAAAAAATTAAAGCACAGTATTTTAGTTCCAATCCTGGCCTTTGCAGAGTTTCATTACACTAGTTGACCTCAAAGTTTAATACCCAAACTACCTTCATCATCCAGGAACTTGGCTGAATTACAACATTCTAGGCCTTTTATTAGAATCAGAAATTTAAGAGATGAAGGTGAAAGAGGTAAGGCCCTCCAAATCTGTAATTTTGTTTATAGATGCACATGAAAAAGATCTGAGTTCCCCATTACCTGAATAATATAATGTGTATTTTAATTTTCTTGGGATCATTTGAAATTGCCATACCATGTTCATAAACTGGCTATGGGGATTAAGTGGAGATTAATTATACTCTTCTTTTTTTCTCATCAGTGCTTATTTGTATTTTTTTTCTAATGAAATTGATTTCATAATGACATGTTTGAAAAGATTTTTCTTTTCTGTATACAGTTTCTCACTCTTTCTAAAGATAAATATCATTTGTGATTCTGTATGTTCTAGATCGGATGACATTGTGGAAGATGATAAAGAGAAGAAAGAGCCTGACTTTTTAACAATAGAAAATGGAATTGCACCAAATCATGGGTTTGCATTTTTGTTATTTGTTATTATTCTGCCTTTGTTGCTATGTGTGTGTGTGTGTGTATGTATATTATACATATATACTGTAAGTAGGATAGTTTTTAAAGTCAACTTTTTAATATGTCATGTATAATTTAATGTTTTGAAAAAAAGTTTTTAGGTATGAGTTTTTTTTTTTTCTCACTGAATTTAATTAGGCATAAAGTGTGTTAAAGTGTTCAGGTCTGTAAGTGAACTCTGATAAGAAATGCTTCCATGTTCTTTAAGGTAATAGGAATATTAAGAAATAAGACAAATGCATGACTGTTATCATTTTGGCAGCTTTGTGTGTTAATAGATTATCTAAAGTGAGTTACTGATAGGGAATTATTAAAATGTAATAAGCATATTTCTTCATTTTTTTAGGCTGACTTTTCCTCTAAATTCATGCCTCAAATATATGTACCCACCACCTTCAAGTACAATCCTTGCAAATATAGTAAATGCTCTGGCAAGTGTGCCCAAATTCTATGTACAGGTATGCAGAATCCTCTTCACTTTCACATATTGGATGAGGTTTATAACTTGGTACTTTAGATAACTGTGCTGATGCTTGTAACTTATTTATAACAAAGGAAATTTATTAATTCCAGAGAGACAGTGTTCGATGTAGTGTTTTAAATGTGGTGAATTGTCACATGCTACTCTCAAATAATAACTTCATAAATACAGTGAATGGATACTAATAGAGGGCTACATTGGATGATGTACTTTGTTATAACTGTAACTTGAGTATAGCACTGACTTATAGAAATTCTTAAAGAAAAGGTATTGGTTCAGCAAATGCTTGAAAAACTTGATGGTAATATGTTACTTCTTAGAATTATAAAATATAAATGGTATGTATTTTCTTTTTTCTTTGTTTTGTGGTCTCCCAGTGAAAAAGGACCATTGTATGAGAACATTTTCAGTAGGTTTTTACATTGTAAGACCATTGTATTCTTAGTAATAGGAATTAAAATCAATGTATTTGTAGAAATGACAAATATTGTAGGAGGATCAAGGTTCTGATATACACTGGTGCCTTATTTTCTCTTGTTTTAAGAACTATGAAGGCCAGAGAGTGACTCTGGTTTTTACTACATTAATCAAGAGTGTTTTTACATGCTGGGTTTATAGTAGTACAGGCCTTAAATTCCAACACTGAGAAGGTAGAGGCAGGAGGATCTCTGTGAGTCAAGATCAGCCTGGTCTGTGTAGTGAGACTTTCTCAAAACAAGAATGTTTTTCTGAATTTTTTTAATTATGTAAAATATATGAAATTAATCATGACTTTAATTCCATGTGACTTTTAAATATTTTGCTCCTTTAAGGTGCTTCATCTTATGAATAAAATGAATTTGCCCACCCCATTTGGACCTATTACTGCACGACCTCCTATGGTAAGAAGTTCTTCGAGTTTTAGAAGTCACCATTTTCTTTCCTGAGTGGTAAATGTTAGCAGTTTTGTAACAACTTCGGATATACTAATGGTAAAGTTGAGAACTGAAAATGGAAGAAAGTGAGACTATGAAAGAATTGCTTTTGTTAATAAAGCCAAAATTTCTTCCAGTTTTCTGTACTTTGATCCCAAATATTATATTATCCTGTAAGTAAAAGATAATTTTATTTAAATAAATTATCTAAAAATTTGTTGCTGTGGTTTTAATTCAGATACAGTTAGCTTCATTTGGAAAGGTAAATAAGGTTGCTAAAAGTTGTTCACTAATTTACATAGTAGGCTGTCAGCTCTTCAAGTTATTTCACAGTGGTACTCTGTATTTATCAATAGTATTAATAGGAAATTACTTTGGCTTTTAACATACAGATAAAAGAATTTTCTTTGAAGTTGACTACTATTCTGTTGTATGAATTATTAGCTTTCTAACTTTTATTATGATACCACCATGTACTTGTTGCTTAGAAATTTATTAAGGTAATATTAGATACTATTAATATAGTAAGTCGTCATGTCTTGTCATGGCTATTCCATTTCAAATAATAGGGAAAGAGGGATGTTTTGAGTCATTCATATGACCCAAGTTGTCTTCATTATGTGCCTATCCATGCTGATTAGAACATATTGTAGATTAGAAACAGGGAGGATTACATGTAGACTTTAAGTTCTTATTCCATGGGGTAATTTACATGGTGAAATACAAGGTATATTTCCAAGTTTTATATAGTTAGATGGCTAAGGAATATAGAAGACAAAACTGTTACCATCTAATAGTCTACCATCACAGATATTTCCTGAATGTACATTGAATGTACCGAGGAAGAGAAATAAGAATCAAGTATTTCTGTGGCATGAGAGTCTGTTGATGAGAATCAAGAATTTATACAAAATAATTTGTCTACTCTGTAAATATCATTTGTTTCCATAGTGTTTGTTTTGTTCTTTTAAATAGTATGAGGACTATATGCCATTGCATGCGCCCCTTCCACCTACATCACCTCAACCACCTGAGGAACCTCCCTTGCCAGATGAGGATGAGGATTTATCTAGTAAAGAATCAGAATATGAAAGCAGTGATGAGGAAGACCGACAGAGGTTTGTGCTATGACATATATGACTTATTTTTGTTCTAAGAATAAGAATGTGGAAAAGACTTGCTCATCCTATATTACACATAATTTATTCAAAATTAGACTGCATTAAATTGTATCTCAAACCTCTCCAAGATCTTGAGCATATGCAGTAGCTCAGTGAATACTAGGGTCTTTGAAAAAGTTTTTGAATGGAGAATAATTTTTTAGATTGATGATTTTAGTATCACAGAGTACAATTGAGCCACATTATTTATGATTCTGTATTTGTTACGTTGCTTGTTAAAATTTTAGTAGCTCCAAAATTACCTTTGGTCTTTGAAAAGAAAAATTTAAAAATTATTTTTTTAAATTGTATTTTTTTTTAACAAGGGCTTGATGTATTTATAAGGTGTTTCATAGATAAGAGTATAAACAATATCCTGAAAAACTGACATACTTGACAGATAGGATCCTAAATGAGATACAAAGTAGCCAGTTGTTAGTCAGCATACCAGCATTATACTGAAGTACCGGAGAGTTATGCAAAAACAAAATTGTCTTTGGCTCACAGTTTGGGAGGGTACAGTCCATGACCAGCCAGCCATGTTCCCACTTCTCTAGATCTCTGGTTAAACAGTCCATCATAGCAGATCACAAGACAGCACAGGAGTACTCAACTTAGAACCATAAAAACAAGAGAAATGAAGAAATCAGGGTTCCACAACCTCTTTGATAGTTTATCCTAAGTAACCCAACGGTCCTCAGCAGCTTCTACCATGTTTGGAATCAAGCTTTTCACAAATAGGCCATTGGGAAATAGTTCATATTCAAATTATAGCAGTTATCTCCTACATTCTTGTTTTAATTCTCGTACTAGTCATGTGTGTCATGTTTTTTTTTAATGGTCTAGTTTCATTTGTTTTTCGTACTTTTGTTTTATTACTAGTTAATACATTCAAAATGATTTTCAGTTATAAAGTTTAACTGTGGTCTAGTGATGTTAAGCTCAAGGAAACTATACAGAGAAAATTGGGCCAAAGTTGTAATAGCATTGAATATATGTTAAATCATTAATGTTTGTTAAATAAGACATCTCTTGCATAAAACATAGTTGTGTATTATCATCTGATCATATACTATAAGCAGTAAGGAAGATAACCCACATTTCTTTGGATATATTATTTTATTCACTAATTATTCAGTGTTTGGCATGACTTCCATAGAAAAAAGCTTCTTGGCTTCATATTTTGAACAGCTGATTGCCCTATACTCTGTTCTCTTCAGAATGATTTTTAGAGGAATTTTGGAAGTTCTCTATGCATAACCATTCATGCTAGTTACTGCCCTTATTCATTGAACTGGAGATTCTACATGTTTATTTAAAGTTTCTGTTTAAAAAAAAATTGTGTATTCCTTAACAATTTTCTGGCATATAACTGAACCTATCTTAGTACAAGAATTGGCCAAACATTTTCTTTGTAAATCCAAAGAAGAAATGCTTTTACTTCATGAGTGAGGTGTGGTGTTGGTCACATATTACAACTTCTCTTCTCATGGCAGGAAAGCAGCCGTATTTATACCTCATGAATAGGTGTGGTGTGTTCCAGCAAAACTTTATGTATATACAAGAGCTGATAGATAGCTTGATTTGGTCCTTGGGCCAACCCCTACCTTATGGTAATTAATAGGTAATGATGTGAATCTTCACTAACTATACAAAAAGATATAAAAGGAAGTGTTAGTATGAGTCAGGACCCATACAGAGACTTGGAAAACATTTAATCAGCAACAGTTTTACTAAGCCATTGCCCATCTAAATAGTGGTTTTTCTTCTCTTTGGAAAAACCAAATTGCTGGTGGGACTCAAACTACTAAGTAAGATGGATAGAATCTTTTTGGAAGGGCGATGTTTAGCAAAGCAGGTAAGTTCTTCATGGAAATCTATCTTACTACAAGCTAGTAGAGCTCTCTTCGGCAGCACGTATACTAAGATTGGAATGATACAGAGAAGATTAATGTGACCCCTGCTCAAGCTAACGAGTAATATAAAATACTACATTTTGTTAATTATTCTCTTAGATAATTTAAACATTTTTTAGTAAACTTGTAGTGCTATTTAGGAATACTTTAAAAAGTGAAAGTAGTGATCCTAATTAGAAATGCTCTAATATTCTAGGCTAAACCCATTTTAATTTTTGTAAGTTTCTAATTAGAAATGTATGAAATTCTGCCTAAAATTCATCTTGAGTCTTAAAAGAAAACAAATCCAATTTCTAATGCATGCTTTTGTTACCTGCTGGGAATAAGACAAAATTTTTAAGAAATATATTTAGTTGTCATATATTTATTAATTTTTTATTATATGCCTGGTCTTGTTTTAGAAGGTTGGTATATTTTGGGTGGATAATTTTAATGCTTAGCGTGTGTTTTGAATATTCAAATGTTTGTATTTTTAATAACATTTTTATTGTGTTTGGTTAGAAACAGACCCAGTCTTTAGCCCTAGCTGCCAGTAATTTGCTATATATACTGGACCACATTTGAAATCTTCCTTCCACTGCTCCTTGAGTGCTGGATTACAACCGTGGGCTACCGTGCTCAACTTTTTAATGCAAGTTTTTATGAGACTTGATTGTGTGAAATTTCCTACTATGTAGTATGTGCTTATACTTCACCTGTTTATTAGAAAAATAGCCTAAAATTTTTAGCCACACCCACCTTTCTATATAATGTGTTGTATGTGTATATCCATTTTACCTTCAAGTTTCATAAATGAAGCCCTGAGAGAGTTGTACTGAGTTGTTTTTAATTGCTTCTTTGTGACAGATACCAAACTATCCAAATAGGATCCATTCTAAACATTAACTGACCAGTCATAATGGAAGAAAGTTATATATGAGATAACAGTTGTCAGTTTCTACTTGTTACTTATAAGCAACTTTAGTATTTGGAAACTTTTTTCTTCAACTAAATGTGATGGAGAAATTAATAAATATGGTGATACTAATGAGTTAATAAGAGAAATAATGATCAGAATAAGGAATTTCTAGGCATCTAGTCATGCACAAGAAATTTATGGAATACCATTGGGACTCATCATTCATATTCCATAGAAAAACAGGTTAATAAGACAGAATGCTTAAAAATAGAAAGGGAAAATGTCCTGGATTTTTATTACATTGTTTTGTAAGGATACACCAAAATCAATGATGAAACACTAGACAGACTCTATAGTCACTTCGTGTAAATTTTTTAAATGCATGGTTTTATTAAAAATATTTAAATGGTACAGGTCAATTTAGAATGTGAATTTTGTTCATATTGATTATGCCTATTGGTGGCTTTAAAGTTATCCTAATTAGTTTTAAATATATTCGTATTAGAGATATAAACCATATTCTAGAATATCAACTCTTGTTTACCTTCCCTTTTCTTAACAGAATGAACAAACTAATGGAACTAGCAAATCTTCAGCCCAAAAGACCCAAAGCCACAAAGCCACGCCAAGTGAGAAAAAAGCGAAAAATAAAGGATATGTTGAATATACCTTCGTCAACTTCACAGAGGTAGTTTTATGTATACTTATGAAATGAGGGTTGTTTGTATGTGCTTTGATTATTCACTTAACTCATTATTCTTCAGTCTGGCAGTTAGTTTTCTTACTTGATTACTGGGTTTCTATTTGCCAAACTTATAAAGTTTTCATAATTCTATTTGTTTACCAGCATTTAATAATATTCAGTATTCATTTCACATTCGTATCTTCTCTTATTAGGCATATTTACTACTTCTTACTAGTGATTGCAATTTTAAGTTCATTTAACTCTTCTGCAAGTTACATTTTAATAGAAATAATCTTATGTGTAAATTATGACACCTTAACCTCTTTTTGTGTTGACATGGCAGTCTCATGCTTTTAACTCTTAATAATGCTAAACAGCAAAAACAATGTAAGCTACATTTTCTAGTAGCCTTACTACACAGTAAAAATGAGCAAATCAAGGCTAGTTATAATTACTTAATCCATTATACTCAAAATATTATTTCATCATACAATCTGTATAAAAATGTTGAGTAGTTAGACATTTTTCTTTATAGAAATTCACTATCTACATGTAGCTAGTGACTGTTGCATACCACAGCACTGATTACCTAGTATACAATATATACTGTATTAAAAATACTGCCAGATGAGGTATATATATATATATATATATATATATATATATATATATATATATATATATATATATATATATCTGTAATCCTAGCACTTGGGAGAGGGACACTGAATGCTTAGAAGTTCAAAGTAATTCTCTGATACGTCTACCAAGCTTACTCCTGTGTTAAATGGTCTGGCAAGGTGCTTTTATGGGTAAAGGTTCTTGTGGCCAATGGTGATGACTAGAGTTTGATCCTAAATATCCACATGGTAGAAGGAAAGAGCTGTCTACTACAGTTTGTCCTCTGACCTAAAAGTGTTCCTCACCACACATAAAAAATAAATAACAAACAAAAGTTATTTTATACTGACTGAACAAGTGTGTACCTCCCTGCCCCTGGTAAATCTGCTGTTTAAAATGAATAGATAAGTCCCAACTTCTTTATTTATTTATTAAACTTTGTTTTAACCTCAGTTCCCTCATTTATAAATTAGGTGTTTAATATTACCATTATATTCTGGTAAGCTTTATTGGAGTACTAAATCTAGTCAGTTTGTGTAGTGAAAAAATGTATAGAATGTTTTATTGTCATGAGCTTTTTAAATTTAAAGAAAATCTGAAATAATGTTCTTAGAATTTTATTTTAAATAATAATCTTATGATTGTTTATAAATACCAGTTTGCATCCTGTGCTGTTACCATCAGATGTATTTGACCAACCACAACCTGTTGGCAATAAAAAAATTGAATTCAATATATCTACCAACATGCCAGCAGCATTTAAGAATGATTTGGAGAAGGAACAGAACAATGAGGAAAAAAATTCTGGTAAGAAAACTTTAGTTATTTATTTCATACCCTTGACAACCATTTTTATGTTAAAAATCAAATTTTATAGTAGTGTTTGTCTGCTTTACTTGAAGTATACAGTTACAGACTGAGGTTGTAGCTCAGTTGGTAGAGAGCACGCATAGAGCTCTGGGTTAGTCACTAGTACTTCTTAAACTGAGCAAGCTTGTAATTCCAGCCTCATTCTTTTTGAGTATTTGTTGAGTAAATACTAGAGTATATTTCTTGTTGCATGTTTGATTACTTTTTATAATAAAGAATTCTAGTAAGGACTGTATATGTAGTGAGTGAACTTTTAATTTCTTGTTCCATTTCTTTTTCCTTTTTTTGTGCATAGTAAGTAACAATGTATTGCCTTTTGAGTTAGCTTTATTTTATTTTTTTAGATTTATTTATTTATTATGTATACAGTGTTCTGCTTGCATGAATGTTTGTAGGCCAGAAGAGGGCACCAGATCTCATTATGGATCGTTGTGAGCTACCATGTGATTGCTGGGAATTGAACTCAGAACGTCTGGAAGAGCAGCCAGTGCTCTTAACTGCTTAGCCATCTCTGCAGCCTGAATTAGCTTTATTTTTAATGTTTCTATTTTTCATTGTTTCTCATTTAACAGCTAGTCACCTTTCATTAATATTCTTTTAGTATAATTGATAAATAAAAATTAAACACATTTATGGGATACAATTTTATGCTCGAATAAAACATTCTATATGTTTATGAAAGGCAGTCCATTATCCCATTCTGTATTAGTGTCAAAGCTGTAATTGTTGGATAGTAGAAACATGAGGTCTTTTCACTGTTTTATGTTTTTAGACTACAGATATTCTATTTGTGTAATATATTTCCTATACTAAGACTTTTATATGTAACATGTTTTGTTTCATTTCCCCAGCTAACTTTTGAGTTTCCAATGTTTGCTTTTATTTGGAAGAATTCTAGTAGTACTTAACCCTATTCATCATCCAACATTTTTTGTCAGTTCTAGTCAGTTACTGCTAATGCAAAAATTCATATTTTTAAAATTTAGTATGTTGCTATCTAAAGTAAAATGTTAATTTGAAAAATACTTAGTTAAATAATTTTTTAAGTATGAAATAGTTGTCCATGAAGGATGAACATTATTACTTACTTTTCCTGAAGTGGTGGGGAAGGGGTTAATGGAATGTTTTTGTATCCCCAAATGGAACAACTCTTTTGTTTTGTTCCTTTCAGCCTAACATGTTGACACAAATCTTCTAATTTATGTTGAAAGCAGTAAGATTGTTTAACAATATTCTGATGTTGTATTATGTATCTTATAACTGTTGTATGTTATCATGAGTCACTGTATTTGGTTAGAATACTATTAATTTTATAATTTAACTAATTACACATTTATTTTAACGTGTAGTTATTACTGTTTTGGAGGGAGAGGTTAAACAATCAATTGTTACATACCAATATACATACTCTTATCTAACATTGAACATTTTCATCACATTTCCATTTGGTACATCAAACTGAGTATACTAAAGCTTAATTCATTGTCTTTTCTCTTTGCCCCCTAACTAACACTACAACGCAAGCCTTTGACTCTTTAACTATTGTCTATGGCTGCCTTCATGCTACAATAACAGAACCGAATAGTCAAAACCAAATTCTTGTCCTCGCCCACAAAACCCTAAACCACTATTCTTTGGACTTTACAGAAAAGATTAGCCTGCTTCTGTCCTGAGATACTGAGAAACACTAAAAATTGCCAAATGATACTTTTGTAAATTGTACAGGAAAAGAAACCTAAATTATGTTTTCAAACATGATTTTTTTTTGGTTTGTTTCATTCATTCATTTATTTATTTAATGACTGATGCTAATGTTGAACTCTTAGATTTACCAGATACTGGACTTGATGATTCAAATACAGGATTTGGAAAAATTTTCCCCAAACCTAATTTGAGCATCACAGAAGAGATTAAAGATGATTCTGATGAAATGCCCTCACAATGTATTTCTCGAAGGGAGTTGGAAAAGGGTCGAATTTCTAGAGAAGGTAATATAATCACATAAACCACCTCATAATCCATCTTATATTTAGTGTTCTACTTCTATTTTTCATGTCTTACTGAAATTAGAAAACTCTATGGGTCATTTACATTAAGATGGGCACTTTAGTGTCTCTCTATAATTAGTTTGTTGACATTTCTTCTTTTAAAGACTCACCTAGTACTGGGGAAGTTCCTTATCATACATTGCTTACAGTAAATATTTGGGTACTCAATATGTGTCACAAGTCTGAAGTTACATATACTGTATATAAAATAGCTGACAAATCATTATCATACACTATCTAAAGTCGATACAAGGTGATTATTAAAAATGGTGATTAGAAATCTGAATTTAGAATTTAATATTCCAATATTCTTTACTTTAAATTTTTTTCATATATTTTAATAATTTTCTATATGACAAAAATACCAGGACCAAGGCAACTTAAAGAGAAGCGTGTAGTTGGGTTCATGTTTTAGAGTCCATGATGGCAGAACAAAGACATGGTAGGAGCAACTGAATGCTCATGTCTTGATCACAAGCTGGAGGAAGAGTGAGCATACCAGGAATGGTGCAAGTCTTTAGAAATCTCAAAGCTTGCTCCCACTGATACATGTCCTCCTCCAAGGCCACACCTCCTAATCCTTCCAAACAGTTCTACCAACTGGGGACCAAGTATTTAAACATAGGTGCCTAAAGGCCCCATTCACATTTAAACCACCACACTACTAAATGATTTTTTATTTATTTTTTAATTAAATGATTTGCCATTGTTGTTATAAATACCTTTCTCCACAATAATAAGGAATCATCCTCCAATTAATATATTTGAACATAAAATCTAGTTTCCCAAAGCAGATAAATGGCAGTGAATATGAGGAACTGTTAGGGCTTTGAAGACTTTTGTCTGATATTTCTGGCTATTAATTTTGAATGCATTATTCTTATGTTTGAATATGACAGTGACTAGTGATTTGGGAAGTTCATTTTAAGCAGAATAGTAATATAAGTGGTTGTCATCACATATTTAGGATTTTTAATAAAGTGACTCCTCTTGGGGACAAATTTTAATTTTATATAATTGAGAAATTTTAAACAAAAGTTCAATTTTTTTATATAATTCATTTTAGATTTTAATGAATAATTTCATATCTATTTATATAATGTTACTATTATCTGTTAACATTTTCATGAAGCTTATTTTTGCCTTTTTAGCAGTTAAAATTGAATGTTATTTTATCTAAAAAATTGCTGATTGTATTTTAATTTTATATCTTTATTTTGCTTTGTTCTCAAAAAGAAATGGAAAACCTTTCAGTTTTCAGAAGTTATGAACCTGGTGAACCAAACTGCCGAATTTATGTAAAGAATTTAGCTAGACATGTTCAAGAAAAGGTAAGGTGAAACTTGCAATTTGATTTTGTTATTGTACTTTCCCCCCTGTTTTTCTTATTTGTCTGTTATTATTTGTCTTACCTTTTTTTATTATTACTTTCAAATTCTAGGACCTCAAATTTATCTTTGGAAGATATGTTGACTTTTCTTCAGAAACACAGCGGATAATGTAAGTGGCAGACATAATCTCAAATTAATGTGTTAGCTATTACAAATTCACTATGTTATGCTTGTTTTTTTGTTTTTGTTTTTTTTTTTGGGGGCGGTTAAACCCACATGATGAATCATTTGTTCTCTTACATAAATGTCTTTTTAGAAGTATAGAACAGGAATAGATGAATTTCTATATTAATGAGCAAATAAAATTTTTAATATTTTAAATCAGATATTTGTTATAACTGTTCAGTTTTTCCTAGTATGAAAGCTGATAAACTAAATGTAAAGAAATTCTTATTGTTAATATTCTGCTAAATCCTTATTTATACATACAAGTCTTCTAATATATTTTGTCCAAAGCCCTTTGACACTAAAGCATTGCTACTCAACTTTTTTTTTCTTTTTTTCTTTTTGCATTGCCTAATATCTACCTGGAGAGCTTGGTTCATTGGTTTTGTTGGCCCATCTCCAAAGATAGGTTTTTTAGTTGGGTCAGAGCTTATAAATTTGCATTTCTAAAATAACATTAGCTATTTAATTTCTAAGTGAAACCAAATCTTACCTACCTGTGTGTCTTTTGGATATATTTTATGTTCATATGTACAAGTACATACAAGATGTATATTGTAAAGATTATTTTTGTTATTATCTTGCCTATAATTACAATTTGAGTTGAAAGAAAATATCAATTTAGAAAAAGCTGTAGATCCCTAAATGATTGTTTCCTCTGAGACAAGTAATGATGTTTAAAAAAATTTCACTGCAAAAAAAATAATTGCATTGCATTTTCACTTATGTTTACATGTGTGTTCACAAACATGCATAGATGGGTAGTTACACCTGTTTGTGTGTGTATGTGCCTGTATGTGTTCAGCACACATCCTCCTTTTTTAACGTTTGTTTGTATGCTTGAGACAAGTGTTTATTATGGTGATACTTTATTTGTGCTGAAATGTGACTTTATTTGTATGTTAATAAATAAAAGTGCCTGGGGGTCAGAGCTAATAAGAAGCCATTTAGCAGAAGTCTGGCAGTGGTAGCACACGCCCTTAATCCCAATCACATGATAGGCAGATCTCCGTGTGTTCAAGGACACCACCAGCATGCACAGACACACACCTTTAATTTCAGTACCAACCATAGAGACCTGGATGTCTGTATAGACAGGCAGTGACGAGGAGGTCATGTGGTTGGGTTTACAACCAATGAGAAGGCAGAACAGAAAGTCAATAAAAAGACAGACACACAGGAAGTAGGTCTCTTCCTGATGGGAAAGATGACAGCGACAGAGGGGTAAGAAGGTGGTTTTGGTCTTAGCTCTTGGCTGCTGCTCTGACCTCTTGGGCTTTTAACCCTGCATTTGGCTATGTGTTTCTTATTTAATAAAATAATTCAGAATTACATCACAGTTTATATTGGCCTAATACTCACCAAGTTGTGAAGATGGCTTGTCTGGCTGGCCAGTAAATCAGGGGCCATCTGTTTCTACCTCCCTACTTCTGCAGTTATAAGCATATATCACCATGCCCAGCTTTTTGTTTTATGTTTTTGGGGTTTATAATATTAGATCATGTTTTCATTGTAAATTGCAATCTCATTTTTATAAATAGCTTTTAAAAACAGTTATTTCTCGAAAATGTTTATATATGATTGTACTGTATAATAAGATACTGGGAGAGTATACTAGGAATAATATGTGACTTTATCCCTATGCTTGGAAGAGTCATTCTGTGTCCACGTACCATTAATAAAATGATAGCTTTGAGTATCTGATAAGTATCTACCGCTTTGGTCTCTAAATGCTTATAATAATGTAAATTCAACAATATAAACCAATTACCTGGTTTACACGTAAATCACTTGAGTATATAATATTGAACTCATTGCAAGTTGTGTGATAAAAAAGATTAAATAAAAAATTTGAGCTTGCTTTGTTGATAATATAACTCTATTAGAACCCTGGATCATAGTACAACAACAAATTAAGAGTTCGTTTTTATCTTCACTAGTGATATAATTTTTAATTTATGAGCATAATATAATTGTTGCTTGTTAAGAATAATACAAAATAGAATTTTAGAATATCTAGTTTTAATACTTATCTAATAGTTCTGTTGTTACATTGAAATGGCCAAGTTGTGGATTGTTAAAACCTTTGACCCATGGTTTTAAAATTGATATGCTTTAAGTCATAATTACTTTTTTTTTTTTTTTTTTACTACGTCTAGGTTTGATATCCGCTTGATGAAAGAAGGACGCATGAAAGGACAAGCTTTTGTTGGACTTCCAAATGAAAAAGCAGCAGCTAAAGCCTTAAAAGAAGCTAATGGCTATGTTCTTTTTGGAAAACCCATGGTGGTTGTATCCTTTAAACCAATCCATTCTAAATTCTTGGGGATTTTAACAGTGGAGTATAAATAATTAATTTCAAGTTATCATTTATAATAATATCAACAATTGTTATTTAAGGTTGCATTTTTACTTAACAGTTCAACGTGCCTTAGATCAGATGACAAATTTTCTTAATCCTTATTGGAAAATAATATAACTTTTGCAATGTAAGGAAAGTTCAGCCAAGTTTATACATTTATTCAGCTCTGAATTATTGCCTCATGTTAACGTCAAGACATACTATCTAGAAATATACTTGGGGTAATTGGAATGGATTCCACTGTAGTTTTATTATAATTCACATTTCTGCTTTGGTATTCCAATGTCCAAAATATATCATTGCATAACTGTCTTACCGTAAATTCAAGTTTTAAATTAGAATTAGTGAGGGTACAGATAAAAAAAAGTGACAGTTATAAAGAATTAGGAAAATAATTTTAGTGCTATTTTCTATATTAGATATTAGAACTGTATAGTATATATTTTTATGTATTTGATTTTGATGACTAAAAAAATCACTTGTGTTCTCGATGGAAGCCTTAATTTTAATGCATTAGCAGTTTGCTCGATCTGCTAGACCAAAACAAGACTCTAAAGAAGGAAAACGAAAGTGATAGCAATGGATAAAGGTAAGTATGGAGAAAACAGTAAAAGATACAACAGTTTCTTGGAGTAAAAGTAAGGAAGCATAAAATCTTATGGGTTACTAATTTAGATGTATTTTATGAGTTTTTAAGAAAATTGTGGTGTATATAGTTCATTCTCATTAACTTCAAAATTATAATTAGAATGAAGTCAGTTTGTATGTAACAATTTTAGAGAATTTTGTAAAGGGTATGTATTGCTTGTTATTTTGTATATGTCCCTGCATGATAATGTTTTTAATTTCTAACCTATGTTGTACTCACTTGGAGAGCTTGATAAAAAGAGGTTGCTGGTCCTTCCCTCCAAGAGCTTCTGTGTCAGTTGTTCTGAGGTTGGTGACAGGTAGTCCCATTTATCCTGTAATTAAGGAATTTCTCAGCATGTAGTAATTGCAGTACTAAAATTGCAATATCATGGAAGCCAGGACTAGTTGGGTATTCTTACTGACACCAGACCAATTGCACAGTCATTGAGTTCCTAGGTGACAGTGAGGTGTTTGGTCAGGGACGGCACTGAAAACTGAAGGAAACAGTTACTACAGTTCTCCCATGCTGTGTATTTAGAATGATTAACATTCTTTACAAACACGATTATGAGGCATAATTTATTTGGAACACATTGACTACCTATGTAAGTAAGTAAATGATTTCAAGTGGTAGAGCTATAGATTTTAAATTAAGTTGTTATTTTGGGAAATGAGTGGAATACTTCTTTTTTGATTTTTTTGGGATGTGAGTTAGAGATATTTTACTTTTAGTTTTTCTACCCCTTGGACCTGGAAGAACATGAAAATAACTGGTCAAAATTGCTTTTTAACTGGGGGAAAACACTATAAAAATAGAAAGATTTGTTTATTGTTGAATCTCTGAGTTTCTTGGAGTATTTAAGTTTTCTTTCAAGACAATCAGATGTCTCATAAGTACTGTACAGAAAAAATGAAGAATTTCAATCTGTGTTTTAGTAAATCGTTTATAAATCTATTTGCTACCAAGTAGAAAAAAAAAATAAACTACATTCTGCTGTTCTTCTTTAGAAGCATTCCTGCGTAAATACTGCTGTAATACTGTCATACAAGTGTATCCTTTCTTGTTGTATCCTTTTTGGGGCAGTGGTTTTGTTTCATTTTGTTTTCTAGAAATGCTTTGTCTTCCTTCTATCATTTATCCAGATTAAGCAATACTTTTTATACTTCATTCAAATGAAATGGTTCTCAAGTTAGTTTTGTAGCCTGAACAAATATTTTACCTGTATTCTAGATTCACTGTTTAACTTTCTATGTTGTCATATAATCAAGGAGTTTTTTTCAGGGAAAGTTAGTGAATCAGGTCACTTAGTGTATACATATGTTTTACTGCAGAGTATGGTAGTATTTCTTCTCTATTGACTTTCTGTTTCATGATATATCCCATTGAGGTATCGTTCTAGTTTCATTTTTGTTGCTGTGACAAATACCCTGACCAAAAGCAACTTAGGGTAGAAGGGGTTTATTTGTCTTATACTTCCAAGTTACTGTTCATTGTTGTGGGGAAGGCGAGGCATGAGTTTAAAAACTCATATCTACAGTCGAGCAGAGAGAGAATAAACATATAGATCCTCACTTGATTAGTCTGAGCTAGCTTTTTGCTCTCTTACACTGTTCGGGGTCCCTTTCCTAAGGAATGGTGCTACGCAAAATTGGCTGGATCTTGCATCATTTAACATTCAAGACCATCTTATGCTCTCAGACCAGCATAGTCTAGACGATGGTTTATTAGGACTGTTTCCCCAGGTTATTTGTTGTTGTGTCAAGTTGACAAGGCTATCCAGCAGAGTTGTTCTATATAACATGTTCTAAAATTTGTCTGAGAAAGGATCTTTTTTCCCTTTATTAATAACTACATTGAAACTAACAAAATTCCATAAATATCTCAAAGTAGAGTAACAGATACCACATAAACAGTCTAAATGAAATGCCTTTGAGAAGTGGTAGGATTTCCCTTACTCTTGGTCTTTTCAAAACACAAATGAAAAATTAAAAAACTAGATTTAAATATATATGTGTATATATATATATATAAATTTTGATATACATATATAAACTTGAAAAGAATAATAGATAAGACATGTTATACTTCAGATAGCTTAGTAAATTATCTTCTAGAAATAAGAAGTTATTCCAGGCTGTATGATGACTAGAATCTCTCAGAACAGTTAGTGTCAAATTTTCCTGCACATTTAAATCCTGATAACTCTAAATTAGGTAATAATGTATTACCCATTTTCTGACTTAGAGTTTGATTCTAGTATATTATTAATATAGAGAGAACTACCAAGGAAGAGTTTCTATGTAACAATATTTTTAGACTCTTATCTTAGAACTATAAATCAAAGTCACTTGAAATTACATCCAGTATAATTTGAAAGGTTCCTTTAGTAATAGAAAGGACCACTGACAAGTTTAGATGGTACTTTGTTAAAGTGATTGGCCATTGCATACCACCTTAGTCATACAATATTTTTTTAGTAGTAAAATAAAAATCCTCAACATTTTGTTGGAAATGGTGCTAATATAAGTGCTATAAAACTACTCAAAATTCTCTTATTTGTCACCCTAATATTAGAAACTTACCAAAATTGAGATTATATTCTCTTGATATACACAATTGAATTAGTTTAGATTTAAGTATTATAATATTATAAGTAGCAGTCATTAATATATATTTTGTTGTGCTGACATGATTCACTAATTTTCTACATATAAGTATTTGGGCTTTTTAAAGTTAATGAATTGAATTATTATTATTTTTAATGGGCTTTTGTGGTGTTTTAGGTTCCTTCTGAATTCTCTGTCTTTCAAGTACTGTGGAACTATGAGAGAAGAAATTGGCAATCTGGACCTTGGAACTGTGCGTAACAACTTTGAAAGCATTCAAAAGTCTCATATCTTCACATTAGTATTTGGAGATATTTTATAATAGTTTATTGCATATATAATAAATTATTTTCTTCTCAGCAGTGTCTATAATTTTTTTTATTACTTTTTTATATATCTAAGGAATTGTTACTTAGCAATGAATATGAACTATTAATTTTTTAGTACTAACTATACATTTTCCTTTATGATTCTTAATACTTTTATTTTCCATTCTTACCTATATACACATATTTTTACAAGTATTATTTAGGCAATTGTTTTTTTTTTTTTTTTTTTTGGTTTTCCGAGACAGGGTTTCTCTTGTGTAGCTTTGCGCCTTTCCTGGATCTCACTTGGTAGCCCAGGCTGGCCTCGAACTCACAGAGATCCGCCTGGCTCTGCCTCCCGAGTGCTGGGATTAAAGGCGTGCGCCACCACCGCCCGGCTAGGCAATTGTTTTAAGAAGAGTTTCAATTTTTATTGAGACTATCACCGCCCCCTCTCCTGATAATGGTAGATTTATCTGTTAATATTTGTGACCATTTCTAACCTCTAATTTGAATTTTATATCTGTAAACTTAATTTCTGTAGAACCATTGCTCAAAGGTAAACATGTTTCTTATAAATTATTTTGTTCCCTTAGTAAAATGTATTTTTGGTAGAAGAATTAGATTTTTACAAAAGTTCTTATTTGTCACCGGTGAATATATCTTTATCTTTATTTTTATATAGAATATACCTTTACTTTAGAGCGGCTCCCCAAAGGCTGGTTGTGGTGGTATTGTGTTCCCCAAAATATTGTGCACCCTAATAAACTTATTTGGGGTCAGAGAACAGAACAGCCACTAGATATAGAGGCCAGAGAATGGTGGCACACACGCCTTTAATCCTAGCATTCCAGAGGCAGAAATCCGTCTGGATCTCTGAGTTTAAAGCCACACTGGAAACATGGTGACTCATGCCTTTAATCCCAGGAAGTGATAGCAGAAAGTTATATAAGGTGTGAAAACCAGGAACTAACTGGTTAAGCTTTCAGGCTTTGAACAGCAGTTCAGCTGAGATCCATTTTTGGATGAGGTCTCAGAAGCTTCCAGTCTGAGGAAACAGGATCAGCTGAGGAATTGGCGAGGTGAGGAAGCTGTGGCTTGTTCTGCTTCTCTGATCTTCCAGCGTTCACCCCAATACCTGGCTCCATTTAAGATTCCTGCTACAGCTGGTGCTGTCACCGATATGCCCTTGAGAATGATAGCTTCTTCCCTTGTATTTATGGCATTGTAGAATGGGCAGAATAAAATAATTCAATAGGAATTAGAAATAGAGAGAGGTGAACCCTAGGACATGCGGATAATGTTTAGCTGGTCAAGTAGTTAAAGCACCTTTAATAGAGAACAATAAGGAAAATCTTGAGATCTGATGCAGACAGTAGACAAATACAGGAGTTCTTCAATGAGTCACTAAAGAAGATTAAGGTTTAGCTGTACACATGACCTGGATCAGAGTGAACTGGTTAGCTGGATAAAAAGAGAGATGGTATTCAGTAAAATGGGCAAGAAGATTTTAATAAAAATTGAAAACAGTTCTCTCTCAGGTAAATAAGTATACTCTTTGTATGGTCAATTATCAAAAAATTGTTTTGTTTTGAAGTTATATGTGCATAAATAGTATATTACATTATTATTATATAATTCACTCAGAAGATAACTCTTAAAAGCTGCCTTTTTTGTTGTTGTTGTTGTTTTTTGAGACAGGATTTCTCTGTGTAGCTTTGCACCTTTCCTGGAACTCACTTTGTAGACCAGGCTGGCCTCTAATTTACAGAGATCCGCCTGCCTCTGCCTCTGCCTCCCGAGTGCTGGGCTTAAAGGTGTGTGCCACTACCGCCTGGCAAAAGCTGTCTTTTAAGTGGACAAGGGAAATAGGTTTTTAATGGGACATGTGTTAACAAGTTTTTTTTTGTTTGTTTTTTTTTTTTTTTTTTTTTTTTTTTTTGCTTTTAAGATTGGCAAGGAAATTGGTTTGGTAATGGGGCTGATTAAAGGAAGAAACATTGTAGAAAGGAAAGGACTGTTTCTGAATTATAGATCTTGCATATAAGTAGATAGTTTTAAGAGGAACACAAGTAGCTCATTAATACTAATGCTGTGAAAGACAAATTTTCAGCCTAGATAGTTTTAGTTTGGTAAGCCATATTACATTTTTATTGGCATTAATTATGTTAAATTTTTGATGTTTACATGGCAAATGCCTGAGAATATCATTCTTAAAGAAGGAAAGATTTATTTTATCTTAAAGTTTCAGGGTTTAGTCTGTAGTTTCTGACTCCCATTATTTCTGGAGCTATGGTAAGACAATATAACATGATTGAGGGCCATTTAGAAGGAATTGCTACATCGCAGCAGACAGAAACCTTAAAGAGACAAACCTGAAAGGGACATGGCAAGACACAACTCTTAAGAAAAACCCACAGTGACCAATATTTTCCATGTAAGTTCCTTCTAAAAATTTATAGTACCTCTCAAAATAGTGCAGTGAGTGTTCTGCCTAAGTGCTATCCTTGAATACAGGTTTGGGTTGTGAATTTAATCAAAGGTGAGATTTTCCTAAATGAATATAACAAAAACTGAAGAAGAACCAGGGTCTTGAACATAGGAAGGATAATCCAAGGAATAAAGTGAAAAAGAGATTGAGACAGGCTGGGTGGTGACACAGGCCTTTAATCCCAGCACTCCTGAGACAGAGGCAGGTCGATCTCTGTGTTTGAGAACACTGGTCTACAAATTGAGTTCCAGGACAGCCAGAGCTACACAGATAAAGCCTGTCTCAAAATGCAAAGGCAAAACGCACATAAAAAAAGAGATTGAGACTGTAGAAAATAACAATTCTATATAGATTAATGGTACAGCTGAAGATGGCTTAGGGTTCTCTCCTAGAAGTTGGATTTGGAAATAAAGGAGATACAAGTAGGAATAGAATAAATAAAATTAGGAGTTTTTTAATAAGCTTAATTTTGTGTTCATGTCCTACAATGGTAATAGGAAGTTTCAGTCTTAAATAATACAAACATTATAATTGTGTTTGGTTTTGTTATTTTTTTTTTCTGTTTATTTGAAACAAGGTCTTACAGTGGGACCTAGGCTTTCCTTGAGGTTATAGCCCTTTATCTCAGTCTCTACTGTGGAGATCTCAAGCATATGCCACCTGTCCTGGAGGTAGTAGCATCAGGAATAAAATGCTTTGAATTTAAATACTACATTATAACCTAAATTATAACATGAGGAGAATTATTTTATTCTGTGCCTCATTTCTAAAGGGATAATAGTATCTACAATGTTAGTACCATAAGTTAGTATATAATGTAAACATAAAACAGTAAGATTTAATTAAGAGATTTTAGTTATGCTATCAACTTATTAATCTGTTCTCCATAGATATAAGGAAATATCTGAGATTAAGTAAAGTTTCTTTAGCACATATCTCTGAGGAGCCAGGATTGGCTTTGACTTCCACTGGATTCTGATGGGGTTCCATAGTAAAATGGCATCACCATCATTGGAATGTGTAGTTAGAGGGACAAATTGCAGTGAGGCAGAAGAGCAGAGAATGGATTTTGAAGGAGTGCTCTTGCCCTGTTACAGCAATTATTTGGGGGGAACTAACTGGGGTTCCATGAGAAATAATCAATCCTTTCTGAGAATATATTTTTAGAGACCCAACCACTTAGCACCATGCTCCATTTCATAAAAGATTCTATCACTTTAACGTTATCACACCAAAGAACAAGCCACTAATGTTAACCTCTTACAGGAAGAACTAAAACATGTCAAAACTAGTATCAAACTAACTCAGTTGTAAATTGGTTAACAATCACAAAGTGTTCGAAAATTCCTTAGTCATCCTTCCAATTTAATTATCTCTGAGATGCCCTCTATATTTTTTTACCTCCCTTTCCTCATCTAGAGCTTTGGGTTATTTGACAAGTTTAAGAAAGCATGTATGCAGGTCTTAGGGTTCTAATACTATGAAGAGAAACCATGACCATGGCAATACTTAAAAAGGAAAACATTTAATTGGGGCTAGCTTATCAGTTCAGAGGGTTAGTGCTCTGAAGCTTAGTGGGAAGCATGTTTTTATGCAGACAGACATGGTGCTTGCTAGAGAAGGAGTTGAGAGTTTTACATTTGGACAGGCAGCAGAAAAAGTGAGCCACTGGGCCTGGCTTGAGCATTTGGAACCTCAAAGCCTACCCCCAGTGACACACTTCCTCCAACAAGGCTACACCTACTGCAATAAGGCCACATGTCCTAAAATTTCAAATAATGCCATTCCCTGAGCCTGTGGAATCCATTTTCATTGAAACCACCACAGAGTGTAAGAGAAATAAATAAAATTTGAACCTTATGCTCACCTCATCTCTTGAACATGCTGCCCAAGTTTCTTAGGCATAAAAATGCCTAGACTACTACACAAACCTTTTTTCTCCTGGATAGAACTAAGTCAAGAGTTGCCTTCCATTATGCTGAGTCATCCTTATGACAGTTCATTGTCATTATCTGTGAACCAAAACTAGAGTTGTCACAGAAGAGAAGTAGTGAAAATGTCATTTGAATCTGTAGAAAATGAATGTAGACAAATTTCTAAACAGTCTTATTAAATAAACACCAAGCCAAATAGAGAGGTAATAGACAAAGAGATCAGAGCCAATAGCCACGACTAGCCTTAGCTTACCACCATGCAGTAGCTTCCACAGAGCAAGCTTCTGTCTAAATTGAGCTTTTATTGCCTTCCTGTTCTGCCTTCTCATTGGCTCTAAACCCAGCCACATGACTTCCTCGTCACTGTCTGTTTGTACAGACCTCCAGGTCTCTGGTTGGTACTGGGATTAAAGAAAGGTCTATGTCACCATGTTTGACTGTGTCCTTGACCACACAGAGACTCTGCTTGCCATGTGATTGGATTATGGGCGTGGGCTACCACCACCTGCCATGTTTATGG